ATTATTGGTCAACCTTTTTGTCGATCGTACTTATTATAGAAATGCTGATCAATATTTTAAACCAATTAGAAGAAAGTCTGTGTTGGGCATTGGATGGGGATCAATAGCACTATTAAAGGATATTGTCGAAGAGGTATGAGAAAAATTCAGAAACAACATCGCGTTCATGGACATATTGGGCATAACCAACAATTTCAATACCTCGAAGATTTGCCCATATTGCTTTTCCAAACTTGTTCTTCATTGCGCCCGCAGGAACATTAATGGAGAAGAGCGGACTGTTCGCCTTCATGGCGTAGTAGAATGCGTTCATCCTCGGTGCCCGGCAAGGAAGTTAAATTACACAACACGAGGAAGGGATGCTAATGCATCTGCAAACATTGCTCTGTCTGGAGCATCGATTGTTCTAGCTGCTGACCGTCGGCCCCTTCCTCATTCATCTAATCAAACAAGGTATAACCTTGCAAACGAACTCCTTTCAGTTGTGACACCAGAACTGGTTCCCCGTGACTCCATTCGGGATGAATGAATATGAAGTCTACTCAAACGGCTAAATTTGACGAAGTCAAAAAGTCAGGCTCATGCTTAGTAATTTTATCTAATTTTTTTAATACTTTGACAATCAATATATCATAAATATCATCCGATCAAAATTTTTTTTTTTTAGATAATAAGTTAGATAAGATTGATATTAAATATTTGTTTAATAAATAAACTATTATGGTCTAGGCTCCAAGACGAAAAATGTCCCGCCGTTCCAAAATTGTGATTGGTCCCTTTCGTTACACTTGTGCTCCGCTTAATAATGGTTTCCGACGAACATGTCCGCTGTCAAAAATCGTTCCTAGTATACTTGTATATCATTGTCCAATCCAATTCAAAATAATATTTAAGTTTAATCTTTTAGAATATTTTATTTACTGAACATGTTTTTCTAGCAAAGAATGATTTGTCTATTCCCGACGATATCAGCCTCCTTTTGAAAAGTCGATCTAAACAAATTACCGGTTTGTTGAAAATCTTTACGTCAAATATCATTATTAAAGGAATAATTGATGTCCGACGTCTAAAAATTTTGAGTCTAACGATCTATAAAATGATGATCTTCGGTATCACAAATTACGAAATTATTGCGCCCATTACCTTATTTTTCCATGTGTACAAAACAAAAATTTGATTGGATTTGAAGATCCAAAGTATGTTTCCCTTCCTATCACAAAATTTACAAATTTGACTTCAAAATTACAGGTAATGATCATACATGTATAAAAGCTCGTAAAGGTCATTTACCGAGCGAATTTTAGTTTAACACGTTATGAAGTTCGGAAAAACTTTATTGAAAAATCACATACCAGAGTGGTCAAGGTATATTTAATTCTAATTAATAAACCCCGGTTTTATTATTGACAATAACTTGAACTTATTTTACTATAGGCATTATATAAGCTATAAAGCTTTGAAGAAGTTCATAAATAATGCTGTTAAAACAACTTCGCGAGGGGGAACGACCGTTGACGATGACTGTGTAGTCGGTGAGTTCTATTATTATTATTTAAATTTTGCAATTTCTTCAATAATTCTAATTCTTTTGGTCATTAGCCTTCTTTTTCACGCTCGATAGTGAACTAGAGAAGGTCAATAATTTTTTTTTATACAAATGCGCCGAAATAGAACGTCGATTAAGAATTTTGTCAGAAAAATATCGCCCTTCGCTAAATAGTCCATCTATCGATTTTAACTCGATCGATCATGGATCTAATGCGCATTCCATCGATCCATTTGCGGATACTGAATTATTATCCGTATTGTTAGAAACTAAGGATAAAGTTCACCAACTTTTATATTTTGCGGACTTGAATATCAAGGGATTTGGCAAAATTCTGAAAAAGTAAGGAATATTTTAGTGATCTACGTGTTAAACTTTCTTTGTTTATTAACATTCACTTTTTTTTGCATTTGTAGATTTGATAAGAAATTAGGTAGAGATGCTAAAGGCCTTTATTTAAAAACAAAGGTTCGTTATCACTTATAGAGAACCCTTTGTCTATGAGCAACTTGACCCACGGAATCGACACCAAATTTATTAAATCTCATCATTATTATAATAAATGAATGCTACTGATATTCTTTGTAAGAGATATATAAAATTTTGGTTTTCACTTATGGATCCCATTGAATTAAAATCATTAAGTACCTAATATGTTGTAAAATAATTCTAATACTTTATTTTCATTTGTAGGTCGATAAACTTCCGTTTGCAACAGGTTCATTACTTATTGACATGTTGGATTCCACTGAACATTGGATTCAAGAAGTTCAACGTCGAGTGACAGATTATGAACAAAATCCTCATCATGACGCCAAATCCACGACAAAAGCTCGCCTTCTACGAATAAATTTGACTGAAGAACAGATCAAAATACTGTCGGAGTCAGTTCAAAACGATAATGTAGATCTCCTTCAAAATTTGATAAATCTAGTTGATTCGGACTTAAAAGTATATATATATATATTTATTTATTCTTTATCTATTTATTTCTTATTTTTGTTTATAATTACAATATATATATATATATATATATATTTCTAGATCTTAACGTCGATGCTTTATAAAGCATGTTCTTTTGGAGCGTTGAAGTGTATAAAATTACTTCTCGAATCTGGAGCCAGTATAGCTGATGATTATGATATAAATGAACGGTCATTGATTCATAAATTGGTGATAAATGGTGGTAAATTACCATCAGATAATTCATCATCTTTAACATCTTGTTCCCCGATAAATAATGGTAATAGCTCAGGGGGACAAATGATATATTCTATTACTACGTTTCAAGTGCAAAGTTGTCAAAGTCAAGTCGTTTGTGAAGATATAAATTTAATATCTTGGATCTTTGAAAATATTCCTCAAGCAGAATATTCAAAAGTCTCGTCTACCGACGCATTTGGTAGAAGACCTTTGCATTACGCGGCCATTAATGGATTTGAAAAAATCACTGGGCTGCTTTTGGGATTTGTAATTAGAACTGGACAGTTTTCATTACAACAAGGGTTCAGTGATCCTTCCTGGTTTGATAATGATGGGTTCACGCCGTTATTTTATGCAATTATACGAGGACATACTAAAGTTGTGAACTGTATAATTAAGGGGAGCAATATGAAGAATGTTGATGCCATTAGTAACGGTAATAAGGATATTAAAAATGACATTGGTGGTTTTCAAATTTATTAATTTATGATATTGTCATATCTAGCTGCCGATCCTTCTCCGTCACTTGGATCAATTAACTCTACACCCACCACGATTAATCCTGCTGTAAGTCAGTACGCAATGGCATCCGCTCATGTGTCGTCATATGTTTTTTCGCATAATCGAACACAAACTCCGCTCGCTACTGCTTGTAAATTTGGCCATAGTGAAACAGCAAAACTTTTGCTCGATTTTGGTGCTGATCCTGATATCCGGGATGAAGAGGGAGAAACTCCGTTACATTTGGCTGCTCGTAACGGATTTGATGATTGTGTGAGGTTATTGGTTGGATTAGATGAACATCAGAATTCACGTGAAAATATTGACACTAATTTTAAAAAAGCAAATATGGAGATTAAGGAAAAATTTTATGGATGGACACCTTTGTTTTTGGCAGGTAAGACAGTTAAATTATTGGAATGTAAATGCGTTTGATTATTCATTTTTTTTTTTTTTTTTTTTTTTGAAATTAAAATAGCTGTAGAAGGTCATACAGAGTGTGTCAAAGTGCTAATAAAAGCAGGCGCTGATCCTAATGTGATGGACTATTCCGGTTGGACTCCACATGTACATGCGGTTTTCCGGGGACATTATGCAGTGAAAAACATTTTGCGTCCTCTAACTGCGTTTGAAGAACCTAATCCATCACCTATAATTGCAAATGTAGAGATTAATTCAGATATTTCAAATGTTACTTCAGCTGAATTTGCATATGGTCATAAATATCTACAAGATCAATCTTTGATTCTTGTAACACTTGGAAATACCGATACCCGTAAAGATAATGTTCCGGTAGAATTATATAATACATCTATTTCCATGATGCCACCGACGTTAATTTCACTTGTAGTTTCTGCCAAGAATGCCACCGGAGAGCCAGCTATTATGGATCTTCCAGTTAATAAAACAGTCATTGATCCAATCATGTTTTATTCATCTAATATAGATGAAGTTATTTTGACATTTGATGTTGTACCCGCTTTTGGAACAAAAAAGCAATCAATCGGACGTGCTTGTGCATTACTTTCATCCGTGAAAACTACTTCGGGTTTGCAACATAGTTCTTTAATGGGTTATGTGACTGTTCCGATTCTTGGTATGGGCACATTGGAAGTTATTGGACGGGTGATTTTTGAGTTTTTAATAGTCAGGCCGTTCAAAAACGAGAACCTTGCTGTTGGTAATAAGCATACATATCGGAGGTCGTTTACTACCAAAGTTATCGGACATCGTGGATTTGGTATGAATAGGGCAGGAACTCCAAGTTTACAAATAGGAGAAAATACTCTTATTAGTTTTATAACGGCAGCATCACTTGGAGCAGAGTATGTTGAATTTGGTAAGTACACTATTTTTATGATTTATTATTCCAAAGGTTTTCGTCAAATTAAGTAACATTAATATTTGTTCCCCGATAGACGTTCAACTTACGAAGGATGGGGTCCCCGTCATTTATCATGACTGGACCATCACAGAAACTGGCTATGATATTCCAATTCATGCCATTACCCTTGAACAGTTTCTGAATTTAAAAAAGCAAAAAACTGTTAATAGTCAAAAATCTGAAGAACGTTTAGTTAATCATCGTAGGGAATTTCCTTTTATTGCTAGTAGTATTAATCAACAAAACAATAAAAAGTTGAAAAGGTCTAATAGCGTTGGATCTGTAACTTCTTTAACACATCCCGAACCTATGGGGAAATTGAAGGGAAATAGTAATGGTTCGATTCAAGGTCCGTTTACAACCTTGGTCGAAACGTTTAAGGTCAATTGAAAAAATTTGGCAGTTATATTATTTTATTTTGCTCAACTATAATATCTATTATTATTAACATAATTTTTTTTTCCCGTTGTTGGACAGAAAGTGCCGATTCATATCGGGTTTAATATCGAAGTTAAATATCCAATGATAGATGAAGCGGAGGCTGACGATTTACCATCATATCACACAGAGTTAAACTTTTTCGTGGACACAATTCTTCAATGTGTCTATGACAACGCTCAAGACCGTAATATTATATTTTCTTCTTTTCATCCCGATATATGTTTAATGTTGGCTTTTAAACAGCCAAATTATCCGGTATTCTTCTTATCGGATTGTGGAGAGACAACCCTTGCAGATGCGAGGTGCAACTCTATTCAAGCAGCAATAAGATTTGCAAAAAATGCGGATTTATTAGGCATAGTATCTAATAGTGCCCCTATTATTGAAGCACCAAAGTTAATTGCGACAATTAAGGAAGCAGGATTATTACTGTTTACTTATGGTACAATGAACAATGAGGTGGAGAATGTACAATTGCAGCGAAAAGCTGGTGTAGATGCTGTTATTGTGGTATGTGTACATCCTATAATAACATTATAATATCTTCTTTTTTTTTTTAAAAAAAAAAAATTAATGTAATCTTATTTATTATTATTTAGGATTCTGTATTGGCTATAAGAAAAGGACTTCAACAAAGTCAATCTTAAAAATATTAACAAACAATGTAAACCACCATAATATAAAATTTTGGAATTATGTATTATAGATCATAATGTTATATTTTTCATCTTAAAATACTTATCATTTTTCTTGTGAGATAATAACTTATTATTCTTTTCTCTTTTTTTTTTTTTTTTTAAAAAAAAAAGACATTCTCATGGATGTTAAAAAAAAAAAATGAGATTTAGAATGAATACATGCGTTATTGCTTCTAATAGTTCGCGTTTTTACTGATGTAAAATGAATACTTTCATTTTCAAATCGTCTCATCAATTCATCCATCCGAATGGTCCATTCATGAATATCAAATACCAGCTATTTATTTAATATCTAATATTGTATAATTAAATGAGGACTAATTGAGACGGTTCGTTTTTTTGAATTCAGATGATTTGATTATTCCTTCTCCTCAATTGATATATAACTTTATTAGTTCATATTTAAGAAAGTATAAAGATTAATATCATAACTTTACAAGAAATTAAATATATTTTGAGCCGATGATTTTCTAAGAAAATGTAAAATCAACATCATGTTACACGTCATATTTGTAACAACTAATCACGTGACAATTTTCCCTTTTAGGATATTCGTATAATATACTTGCATACCAAATAAAATTTTGATATCAGAAAGCAAAATTTTCTTTTTTGAAAATTAGTGTAATGTCGTAACCAGATTCTAAATTTTTTACCAGCATTATAAAACATAGCTGAATTAATTATGTGATAAATACATGTGATAAATAGAATTTTCAATATTGAAAAAATTTTGTTTTCAAAATAAATAGTAATTTTGAAAACATAAGGGATGTGATATAGATTTACAAATTATATTTTCTTTTATAATATATCTGCAGACCGATATTTGATTTTTGTCAGAAAAAAAATTTCATTTTTTGAAAATTTGTGTATTTAAATAGCATATCACAATATAATATTATACTCATCTTCTAAGACTAACTCTAATTTAATATTAAATCTATTTTTCAAATTATATGATTAGTTCTCTAATTTAATATAAGTTTTAAATAGTAATAATTTTATATCATAAACCTTATTAAAGTTTTATAACCTTTAATCTTATTCTAATCTCATGTAATTCAAAAGATCTTATCAAAGCATTTTTTGATATAGTAAATAGGATATTTCATAGTTATTACAACATGAAAATAATTGATAATTATTAGAAAAAAGTATTTTTAAATGCTTTTTTTATTTCTTATTTATCCTGATATTAAAATTAAAATTGCAAAAAAAAGCAAAGTAAAGATTACTGTAAAAATAAAAATAAAAGTAATTTTTTAAAAAAATTAGGATTATATTTATTAAAAGATTAAATAAAATAATTTAAATATTTTAATTAAGGTCTTTTATTTTTTTATACTTATAATGCTAGACTTTTTAATATATGATTATTAATTTAATACAATTTGCAAATTTAAAACATAATCATTAATCAGTCAGAAACCTTTAATATTAATAATAATATTATTATTAGTCTGAAATAAAGTGAATAATTATATATATAGATCTAAGGTTATATGAGCTCTTTGTAATAGAAAGGAAAGAAACTACCAAAAAAAATTTTTTTGAATTTAATGTTAAATCTATACTTATTTTATTAAAAAAATAATATTTAGTTTATAAAGTAAAAAAATTTTTTATGTAGTTTCCTCCTTTTCTATTATAAAGAGTCTATATGAAGTAACCTGTTATTTACCTGTTCAATAATTAAGTTAATACTAATTAATTCTTATAATATACAAAGTTTAAATAAAATTCTGAATTTAACAATGGTCTCTGTTTTCTAGTATTTATACATTTTCAAATAATTTATGTTTATAATATATATATATTCTTGAATAAAATATTAACATAATATTATACAGTTATATATTATTATTAGATTTATTTTTGTATTTTATATATCTAAGTTAAAAAGTCATAAAATTGATTCTAATTTACAATCTTAAGAAAATTTTATCATCTTATAGATTATATAATCAATTTAAAATTTATTAGTTAAATTTAATAATAAATAATAAATTTAAAACAATATATTACAATTAAATCCTAGATGAGAAATATATTAAAGGTAAAAGTGTATATATAAAATTTTAATTAATTTCTTAAATCTTATTTACAACTTAAACTAAAATTTATTTTATTTATATAAAATTAATTATTTTATAAATTAACTAAATAAAATATAGGTTTTTTTATGTATTTATATTAAATATAAGATATATATATAATAATAATATAAGATTTATACTAGTATTTAAAATATATAAAATAAAATATTTATATTTATAAAAAATTATTAAATTTAAATTTTTTATATAATAAAGAAAATTTTATAAAATTTTAATTAAAATTAAATAATTTATATAATTTTTTTGTATGCATTCTTATTTAATATTATAAAATTATATAAAAAATTATTATAAATAATTTATATTTAGCAATCAAAAAGAATCATTATAATTTTTTTTTTATTTTAATTTGAATTTAATATGCATATTATATCTAATATTATATACAAGTTGCATTTATTTTAATTTTGATTATTATCAATTAATTTAAAGATTTTAAGAATCTTTTAATATTTATAATATTTAAGTTAAAGATGAATACTATAATTAAAAAAATGATGTAATTTAATTATAACTTATAAAATAATTAAATTTGCTTATGATATAATTAAGTTGCAACTCAATTGAAATTTAAAAATAATTATAAGAATCATTTTTAATAATAATAAGTTTATTATTTAAAGATTATTATTTATTAGATTACCTTTACTAGAAGAGTATTGAAATTTAATAAATATATAAAAATATTTATATATATTAAATAATTAATAAAATAAATTAAACTGATAGAAATAAAATTGAACTATTATTAGAAAATAAAATTATTATATTAATAAAATTGATAAATCTATAAATAATAAAATTGATATAAAAATTAAATAAACCATTACATTAAAAATTAAATTAACATCTAAGATCTATATGATTAATTATTTTAGTAAATTAAATTGATTAATTGATTTATATAAAGGATTTTTAAGAAAATAATATGGGTGTTGTTCAAAATCTTAAAATCTAAAATCTCAAAATCCAAAATCCTGAATTGTATAAAATCTCAAAATCCAAAATTTCGAATGATAAAAAATTCTGAATTTTCCTTTAAAAATTTTTCATATATAACTAAGCTTACTTTCTAATTAAAGCATATATTATAGGATAACATTATCAAAATTATTAATGTGCATATCACATAATTTTATTAAAAATTTTTTTATTATAAAATCATTAAAATTACAATTCATCTTATCAATAGTTTAATATTTACTTATATAATAAATGAAAAAATTTTCAATCAGAGGAAGTTTTGCTTATACAAAAAACAAAAAAAATTTTTAGCAGAATTATTTTTAGATAACCTGAGTCTTGTTTGCAACATATATTACTAATTTAAAGTAATTTTTTATGACTCACCTGCAACATACTAATTTAAAATACTTCTTATGATTAAAGATGGTCCCCATAATTATTTACAAATTTCAATTAAGTTGCAACTTAATTGCGCCATAAGGAAATTTAATTGCGCCACAAGTTGCAACTTAATTGCGCCATTTTTTTTAATTGCGGTGACCATCTTTACTCATGATCATTCAGAATTTTGAATTTTGAGATTTTAGAATTTGAGATTTTGAACCTTTCAGAATTTAAAGTTTTGAGATTTTGGCTTTTTAAAATTTTATAGCATATCTAATAATATTAATATCAAAAATTTTATCTATTACAATGATTAAATTTATTATAAGAAGAATTTTTTTGATTTTTTGAATATTTCTAATTATTTTAATATTAATTTAAAAATATAAATTATTAATAAATCAGAAAATTATTAATTTAATCTAATATTTTTTTAATATTTTTATTATTTTATTAATTTTATTCTGATTAAGATTAAAATATATAATTTTATTAATAACTAATAAATTTTTAATTATATACATTATTGCATAATTATTATGTAAGTAAATTTTTAAAATATATATGATTATTTCAAAAGATTACAAATAAAATAATATTAGATCTATATATATAATAAATTTTTATATCATGTTTGCTATATTTTTATACTATTTTTTTTTATACTATTTTTTATACTATTATTTTTATACTATTTTGCTTTTATTATGATAAAATTATAAGAAAAATTTAATCAAAAACAATTTTTTCTTAAAGAAATTATAATATTATTTTAAATAATGCTAAAATTTTAGAAATATTTAGTATATCAAATAAAAATATATAAACATTAAATAATATTACTAATTTATTAATTTAATTTATTTTCTTTATTAAAAGTACGTTTTTATATGATAGTCTTAAAAATTAATTTTATTATTAAATATAAAAATTAAAGATATAAATTTTATTACAAAAGTTATTGAAAAGATATATTATATATTATTATTTATCTTAAAAAAAAAATAAAAAATTACTAATTGAAAAAGATAATTATTAATTAAAGAATACATAAAAAATATGCATTATAAATATAATTATAGTATTTGCAAAAATAAGTAATTTTAAAAAAAAGTAAATAAAGCATTAGATACCAAAGATTTTATTTTTAATATTCTAATTAAAATTTAAATAAAATATTTAAATTTTATTTATTTATTAAGAAGAAAATGCTATTACTAATACTATTACTAATATTAATACTAATGTTAATATTAATGCTAACATAATAAATATTTGTATGATTAATCAATTTTTATCAATCCTTTTTTAATTATCATTAAATAATTGATTTTGATTAATTCAATTTTATTATTAAATTAATATAAATTAATATTACATTATTTTATAAAAATTATTAATTAATTTTTTATAAATATTTTAAGTGCTATTTTAAATTATTCTGTAGCTTTGATAAATTTTCTGATTTATTATTTTCTA